CAAGGGATTAATTGGAACTAGTGCTGTTTTGATGCAGCTATAATACTTTACCGATCACTGTTCTCATGCAACCGTTGCAGCAGTTCTCTCATGACTCTTTCATCGTAATCATTAATTCGTTTACGTTTCAGTCGCCCGACAGCGCTTACTTCTTCAGCACTCTTCACATTTCTTCTCGGGATATTCCTTCAATTAGACTCGGATTAGAGTTACTACTAAAGCTATCATCGTTTTGTATATGCATTTATCATCATTACCGTGATTGCGCTTGTCACGAAAGTATTTCATTACGTTAACGGATCACTCTCTTAATGAAACTCGCTCCGTTGAACAAGATACTAGTCACAAGATATAAAAAAGCAACACAACTGAAAGATTGAAACTGAATCGAAACCACAAAAATTAATGGATAGTATCAAATGATTAAACGCATTCACTCATCAAAGTATTTTTAGGTACAACATCTTTTGAAAGAATCTCTTAATGCAAAAGCGAAACCGATTAATACGAAACTAAAAGGATATTTTCGTAGAATTACAAACTTTTTCAGAGCGAACTCCCACGCTCCATTCGAATCGTATACATCGTACAGAATGGATGCTACCGCTGTCAACGTCAATAACTTCGTGCCTGACTTCCATCTGCAATTATTTCAACTCATACTTATGAATAATTAATGCATTCGCTTACTTAAGTAAAGTGTTGTACAATTGCAGAGATTAGTATTTGTTGAGGAATATAATTGCAGCTTTTTAGACAGGAGAGGCGACTCGCCAAGGAACAAAATGAACAAGAGGAAACTGGAACAATAAAGTCCCGGTGCGAGTTACCCGTAAAGATGGGGGAATGGTCCCCGTGGGGACGAATCCATCCGGAGGAGAGCCCCGACCAAGGTTTGAGGGAGCAAAATTATCGATGAGTTATCGCGGAACAGGGTCCGTCTGAAATTTCCGAGAATCGTCAGCGCAAACAAATCACTCCAAATGAACTTTCAGGTGACGAATGCTTGGAATACAAACGAAATGAAGCGCATCGAATTGCTTAAGAAAAACAAACTTGATATATTTGTCCAAGGGAAGTTTACGTGCGACAACATTCGCTTGTTTTGCGGCTAATAAGGAGGCCTGTTTCGGTAAACCGATCTCATTCGTTCGATCAACAATACCACCTAAGATGAACGTTTCATCACCTTTGATCTAAAATCACTTTCACTATTATTATGCTTACTGTAATACTAATGTGATTATTTTAAGCAAAGTTATTAGTAATATCAGTGTGTTCATGTTTATAATACTTATACGATTACTACGGTCATCACTTTAGAAGTTACATGAATGCCACACCATCCATCATCATTACGATAATCACTGCAAACATCAAGAAAACCATTTGCTTAATTATTATCACACTTGCAAGTGCTACCGTTAACGTCACTCACAGGCGATTACTTCAGAACATTTCAGAATGAGCTTATATAAGACATAAACACTGTTTTTGACATATACGACGAAACCGAAAATGTTTTATGAACAACTATCTCAACAAAACTGCATAAGTACACAACTAAATCAAAAAGATAATCTGATGAATGAATGAATCAAATTAACCTCATCCAATTCCTCGTCAGCATGCGGACTCAAGTAGACGATATTCGAATGCGCAAACAGATCAACAAAACTTTTCGACGATATTTCAGCACAAGGAAAATGATTGGATTCGAAGAATTGCAGATGCCTTTAAATCAATCTTCTTTGAAGTTATCGCTATTGATTCTCACCGAGACTCGATCAGTTCAGAAATTGAATCGTCAAATTACTCACAAATATTCATCAGTGATCAGTATGACCACAAATTATGCTGATTACACTGATCTGATACTTAGCAAATTATCCAAAATCATTTCAGAAATTGTACTTAAAATCCAAAAAATCATTTCAGAAACAGTATAGTACGATAGGTAATCTCTGGAATTGAATAATTCCATGGAATAGGATAACAGTTGAGAGTTTGAAGTGTTGACAATATTGTTGACAATATATTCGAAGAAATCGATGATACTGGAGAATTTGGTGTAACGTAACATGTAAAAAAGCAATAATGACTAAAAATGACAGAACGAGTACTTGATAAGAAGCTTATATTGCATCAACAGACCTCTTGCAATGATCATTAATAATGTCATTGTGATAATTGAAATTACACAGATATAAGGGCCACGGTTGTTGCCTTAATCGATTCTCAGCGATCAGATATTTCAGTTGCAGAAATGTCAGGTTCAGACCTCGTATCGATAAACACTCCAAAAACTGACAATCGACGACCAGGCATGGATTTGGGTCGAGTAATAGAGATGTTATGTAACGTTGCGATTGCAACTGATCAAGGCAACGTTCTGCAATTTCATTTGATTAGACCCTTAAAGGTATCACCACTTCTTACGATTAGTCAATTTTAAATCTGCCATCAGAGAAATACTGTGCAATTGTCATTGGCATTCTAATTGGTTTATGCTTCATTTCTGAGCTCCTGAGTTCAAGAGTTACTGCTCTTATTGGCTTTATCATTTCATCCACTCGGTATATTTCTTCTATCATAATTATTGAGTACAGTAATATTACAATTATTATTGTAATGTAGCACGTATACTAACACAAGATCAATAAGAAAAGCCATGAAACAATACGCTAAATTCAAAAGTGTACATCTCAATCGTAGAAAAGCAAGTAAGGATTCTGCTATCTTCAACTTTATACGGAAATCAGCGATCAACAAATTCGTAAGGAAACTGATCATTGAACTGGCGAAATGAATGTCAAAAACGAAATGATCGTAAAAACTGACTTAGTTTTGATGCAGGGAAAAGAAACGGCTGATTGCAATTGTGAGTTGTTGTTGTGAGGTGATCTGTTGGTGAGTGAAGTTTGTCACCTTTTAGAGACATTTTGACTTGTTTCTTGATTGCGTCTTTCTTGGATTTGTCTTCTTTTAAACGATAGAATTTGATTTGGTGGAGACGCTCTTTGAGCGTTGTACACTTCAATAACTTGCTCCAGTCATCATCGCGAATTGTCTCCGGGAAGTAATTGTAACAACACGACAACATCTGAACAGTAGCCTTTCTTTATTACCTATCGACTTCCAATTCAATTCTAGTTTCGGATCTTACAAATTTTTTCCTTCTACTTCTTCCTCCCTTCCATGCTTGGACAGAAAAGCCCTTCGTAGAATAATACCACGAATCTTTAAATAACTTTTCAGGTGATCGATCGTTTTTTTTTCATTTCTCTGTCCCAACATACTCAAGAAAATTCACGGCTAGCACAGTAACTATCAAGGCTGGCAAAATTATCTATTGATAGCACACAAGATCATAGGAGCAGCAAAAACTAGGCGATTTGTTTGTCATTTGCATTCCGTAAATCGCTTATCTTCTCAAATTTCGACAGCACACCTTTCGTACGATTGATTGGTGGTGATAAATTTATGATTCCATTTCAAATGCTCATTGTCAATTACACGGAAACGGATGCATTTATTGGGAAGTAAGTGATTAGAATGTATGAATTTTAGTTGCACTTCACTGAATGCATCAAGATTATTAATAAGAATGATGAAAACGCAGAGATATCGAAAGGAACCTCAATTTCACGAACAACACCAACTAATTTGGCTCTCTCGTCGCTACTTAAGCTTTCAACGAAGCTAGTTGATGGTCTGGAAGACAACCTCGGTGATGCTGTAAAACGACGTCATATTAGGAATGAGACGAACAACATGATGACACGCATGAAGATTTCAGCAAAGTGTTGCGTGATAAAGTTTTAATTCACGAAACGTCGTGCATCATATCTCTATGAATGACCGACTTATTTTGTGCATATAAAAGCAAAAAATGATATAAATGAATCACAGATCTAGATTTGCTGCTTATATTGATGTGAAATCACTGAGAAATCCTATTATGTGGATAAATTTTCCGAAAATGCTCTTTGAAAGATATTCCAAATCTAATTTCCAGTTATTATTTTGTAACGATGAAACTTCACGAAAAACCGGCTGAATGTTAAGATGATACACAAATATTATGAACCACTAACTCCAAATAACAGGCCAACTAGGATTTTTCACCCGTAGAAGTCGCTTGATTTTCCATAAAGCACTTCGCCAGCTGTTCCGTACCAAATCGATCATTGGTGAGTGTGTTGATAGCGTGCGATTCAGTGCTGATTAAAACTTAAGTGCTGATTGAATCTTATGATTTGAAAGAGCATAATGAGTGTAATTCAGCAAATACATAGCATTGACTAGGAATGTCAAAAACACTAAAAGATATAAAATTTTTGTTTGAAAACATGAAAATAAACAGCAAAATATATTCTGCGAAATAAACAACGAGAAAATGTTTTAACGATTTAAATCAACGACAAAAAACACTCAAATAACAAGATAAACATTTAAGATCATGCACAATAACAACTTGAATGATATGTAACACAATTTTCAGTAGCAAAACATCAATGAGGACAATTAGTTTTCACACTAACAATGACAGTAACAATAACGATCATATCATCAGCAACGCAAATAAAGCCATAATCATAAGGAATTTGCACGAGAGTGATACGGACGGTTCAGCTACAATCAAGAGGTGACTGTGATTCAGGAATCTCAGATGATTTTTGTGCACTTTCAGATGGATGTGAATCAACATTATTAGTGGCATCTTCATTAATCGATTCAGTGTCTTCTTCGTTGGCAATCTCGAACTGGGCATTGAATTCTGGTATTGCTAACAGTTTCTTCAATTCTTTTTGATGATCACTCAGTTTGCTGGTTATCTCATTGACACTGCTAATCAACATAGCACCCTTCACCGTTTTACGAGATTCGGCTCTCAGCAGTACCTTTCTTGCATTACCTATAATATAAACATATTCAATACAAAAGTCATTTCGCTCACATCATCATTCATTTGCACTTACTATTGGTCAGATTTAATTTCTAAACATAACTAATCCTAAGAATGAGTGAGAGTAATTCAATAACAACTTCCACCAAATTCATTCGTATCAAACGAATGAAACGACGAATGAATCAAGCACAAAATTTCATTGTGCTCTTGGCAAACTAGCCGTATGATTGAATACATTAAAACCTGGACTATGAAAAAGATTCCGAAGGTTTGCTTAGAATCGCAAAAGATCGATATTATCGAACATTAAAATGAGGCAGTTTTAGATTAAAAGCACATTAATGTTGCTATTCGAACGAATCCATCACGAATACGACCACAAAACAAAAGCAACGCAACAAACCAGCAATGAATTTCCTCGACTCTTCACGTCTTGCCCCAAACAAAATGCACATATTAATCGCGTCGTAAGGTGCCCGCAAATCTATGATCTCATCAGCTCCACTCGACAAAATCACTCCATTACCACCCTTTGTCATCAACAATAATTGACGAGCGTTTGCGAGTACCTTAAAGAAGTAGCGCATCTGAATCATCGATTCTGGCGAATCTGAATAGATCACATCAAAACCAGTTTTTTTTAATGCTCGAGATTGCCGTCAGCAAAGTATTTTTCAAACTAATTGAGTTGATCAATTCGGAACGGAGTTATTTGTGCACCTGACATTAAGCCTAGTTGGAAATAGTATTGTGAGTTTAATGAGACTGATAGAATCCGAAAACCAACGATAGCCATTGGATAAACTGATCGAAAAGAGCGAATCAGGATAATAATAGTGAGCTTCAATGGTAGAAGAAGAGTTACTTAACTGATACTTAAGAAAAACTTTGCTCGAAATCATATGGCTTGGCAATATCAATGTCCAAAAGATGTTGCTTAATCAGACGATTTCACTAC